TTTAAAATATAGATTCTTAAATATTAAATAGATTACATATATCAGGAGTTTATATATCTTTCTATTGTCTACTAAACTTAAATTTTATGTTTTTCCTCTATTAGGAAAACGACAGATACCTGTGGACGGGACGTACCCACCCACCCCCTTGATATTCAACCTTAGGGCTTAATTGGACGTTTTTTTTCCACAAAATATATCTATTACACTTATTCATCATGTATACAATATCAAAAAAATTTTAAATCTCCTGAATGATCGCTCAACAAAAAAAAAAAATACCCCACTATACATTATAAGAGAAAGATATGCCACTCCAGTCTGTTTACGTTGTACACCCACTGGTATTTCTAGGTTTACAAACATGAATTTATTTTGTTTAAACTTTAAATGTCGATTCACACTGTCTCTACATATATTTCTGTCTTAGTCCATGCTATCAGACTGACTCTGCATCACGTAATAATCCCACATTTCTCCTTAAATAGCATTCTCTCTTGTAAAGTGGGGTAATATATAGTTGGGTTTTTTTGTTTGTTGAGCGATTATTCTGGGGGTTTTACGCCAGCGATTTTTTTGTATTGTAACGTAACACATAATGAATAAGTGTAATAAATATAATTTGTAAAAAAAAATGTCCAATAAGCCCGGGGGGTTCAATGTCAAGGGGGGGGGGGAGGTCTTTTCTTAAAAAAATAAGATAAGTCGACAATGCAAAAAAAATATATACTCCTGATATATGTCATCTATTTAATGTTTAAGAATCTATAATATAAATTGAAATATTTCTTGCTGATAAAAAATCCAATAATTATTTAAATTTCCTTCTTATATATATAACACTTTTTCTTGCATTGTAATTTAATCAAATGACCCGTTTGATATAATTATATTAAATGATTTTTTGATAGTAAAAACATAATAAAGGGGAGTAATCAAATGTTGAACCCGCTTTTGATTGGTTAGTTGGGATCTTGAATCTCGAAACTCGAATTTCGAATTTTGAATCTCGAATTTCGAATCTCGTATTTGGAATCTCGAATGAACCTTCTGGGCTTTCGTAGGATTTTCATTTTTGACATTTACATTATCTTGGCAACATTTGAATTAATTTAGAATTGATTTTTTAACCTCATGGCCTTAGCATAGAAGATTAATCTACCCTTTCAAGAATTTTTACATAACCCATAACCTTTTGCTTTAAAAGACACATGGCTTTTCTAGCCTGCATATTACTTATGACATGTGATTCTTCTATGATAGTTGTCATCATATGACAAATTGATTTTTAGCTCTACTGGTCAGAGACCAGAAGAGCTTATGCGATAGTAATGCGTCCGTCGTCCGTCCGTCTGTCTGTCTGTCCGTCTGTCTGTCTGTCTGTCTGTCTGTAAACAATTTTTCAAAATGCTACTCCTCCTACAGTTTAGGTCCGATTTCAATGTAACTTGGCACACAAGTAAACTACACTAAGATACATAATTCTGTGCATTGGTTTTTGATTTCGATGAACGGTGTTGCCGTGGTTACTAAAAATAGAAATTTCTGTGAAATTCTTTCGAAATGCTACTCCTCCTACAGTTTTGGTCCGATTTCAATATAACTTGGCACACAAGTAGACTACACTAAGATACATAATTCTGTGCATCGGTTTTTGATTTCGATGAACGATGTTGCCGTGGTTACTAAAAATAGAAATTTCTGTGAAATTCTTTGAAATGCTACTTCTCCTACAGTTTTGGTCCGATTTCAATATAACTTGGCACACAAGTAAACAACACTAAGATACATAATTCTGTGCATCGGTTTTTGATTTTGATGAACAATGTTGCCGTGGTTACTAAAAATAGAAATTTCTGTGAAATTCTTTCAAAATGCTACTCCTCCTACAGTTTTGGTCCGATTACAATATAACTTAGCACACAAGTAGACTACACTAAGATACATAATTCTGTGCATCGGTTTTTGATTTTGATGAACAATGTTGCCGTGGTTACTAAAAATAGAAATTTCTGTGAAATTCTTTTGAAATGCTACTCCTCCTACAGTTTTGGTCTGATTAAAATATAATTTGGCACACAAGTAGACTATACTAAGATACATAATTCTGTGCATCGGTTTTTATTTTGATGAGTGACAAGGATCATTTTTCTATTTATTGCTGTTTTAAAGTTTCAAGTCCCAACTGCTACTTTTCTCTTCCTTTGTTTTAAGTATAAACCAGTAGAGCTACAGTCTCGACAGAGACTTCTGGTTTTTTAGAATATCAGATACTCACAGTAACATTCAATAATTTATTTTTTTTTTGTATGATGGACAGAGCAGTCTAGACACACTACAAGATTATTATAATATGTCATAGATAATTGCATCGATCTTAACCTCTATACATCGAAAGCAAGATACCACAATTCTTTGAATTTGCTTGGGTTTTTTCTCTGAAAACAGATGTTTAACCTTGCACTTTAGATTGTTTTAGATGTTTGGATTTTCCTTTCGTGTGTAGTAGGTGAAAATTAATGTTATGAAGTGCGTGAAAATGAATATTAATACATTATACACTTTGTTAATCTATCGTGTACTTGAATAACGCTGGTTTGACACATGTCGAATGTTTTTATTACCACATGTAGATTCATTGGCTGACTAACTCTCAAAAATGTTTAGATAAATCTCAGAATTCTGTTGAATGTTTTCTGTCCTTTCTAACATTATTTCAAGTAGTCAGATTGCAGTTATTTACGATGTAAAATATATCAGAAAGGGTTATGTAGTATTCAGTAGGGGGTAGAGATAGATGACAGGTTTTTTTAAATTGTGTGTAGATCGACAAAATGAAAATCAAATTGATGTCGTTTTACGCGGAAGAGTATAATACCGAGACAGCATTTACATACCAGTAACACCGTTTTTTTAAATGTCCTATTTTCTAACGAAGCAAATGAAGCACTCTACGGTCTCTGAGATTGGAAAATACATTTCACCAATCACTGCAAAAGGACAATTCAAAATTCAAAGTGCATTAAAAACCGACCTTCAGGATGTATTTAACAAAACGATGCTGGAATTTTATTATTAAAAATTAAAAACAAATTCGAAAGGTATGGTTTAAAGAATTCACTATTAAAACAGCTTGGAAATGCCCCCATTATCGTATACTAGATATTGTTTTAACAAAAGTCCTTTTAGACCGAATTACACAATGTAAGAGTCTCTCTATAGAGGTTTTTCAATTCTTAAAAGAAATTTCTAAATAAAATCAAGCTAGGGTTTATTTGTTATTAAGACATGTCCAAACAGAAACTCTACTACTAAGCAGACTCAAGTACCACTGCATCAGGAAGCATCTTAAGCTAAAGTCTACATTGTCCTGAAATTTTGCTCCAGACATACGAAATCAAAAATATCCATCGACATTGCTTCACCAACATGATGTTATACTGCATATTTAGAAGTTAAGTTGACGATTTATAAAGTTTTACATCTTACATGTGACTGAATATTTTTGACTTATATCTAGATCTGTTCCATGAAGCCGGGGCTTGGTCGATGGAATAAAGTACTGTGCATTGTATAAATCAAATAAACCGTACGACAACTTGACCAGTCGTTTTCGTAAAATCAAAGAGGAATGCTTTGCTGCAGAAATGTAGTCTCTTTGAACTTATATTTTAGTTTTGACCAAACAAAGTTATAACTCCATAACGCTACAGTTCAGGTATCGGGTCCATACAGATTAAATGAGCTCACCTTTGATCTCAGTCTCACTTTCTAATATTAATTCATAACGATTTGAGTCTGACGTCAAAAGTTAGCTCGTCTAACTTTTATGGCACCAGAGCCTGCACCTAGTGGAATGTGCCATTTTTTTTTAAAATTTGTAATTAAGATGCTTTAGATAGCTTATAATTGAGATTAGTGATTATATTTCAATAAAAGTTACATAAATCTTAATTTTAATTTAAAAATTATTTATAAGCTTTTTAGGTGGATAATTTGAAGAAAGAAATACTTTATTAAAAAAATAACACGTACCATGTGTTTATTCGTTTTTCCTTGAAATATGGAAGTGATGCATATAACTCAGTCAGTGTCTTAACTTTCGTTTATAAATCAAAGTAGTGCCAGAAATTGAAGCATTAGGAGGTAATATATATATGTACAAGAAACACTGGGGTTTGTTTAGATAACTTCAGAGAAGGCTGTTTAAATTGCTCAAGTTAGACCTCTGTTCACACAAAACACCCGTGTAGATGATATTCCTTCTAGAGGTACTGTGAGCAATGAGCTCACTAAATAATAACCCCCCCCCCCGCCTCCTATATGAATATTTGTCGGATCAAAAAGTAAAATAGGAGGTGCACAAATTCATTATGTAATAAAGATTCTGTGAAAGTTTCATCAAATTTCATGCAGTGGTTTGAGAGGAGCTGCGGATAAGAGATGGGTACCCCAAAGCGTAACAGACGGACGGACGGACGGAAATACCGATTACTATAAACCCTCCCGCTTTTCAAGCGGGGGGTATAAAATGGCAGTGTCATTTGCTTGGGAGAACCTTAAATATATAACTGATCAAAAAGTAAAATATAAGGTGCACAACTGCACTATATAACAAAGATTCCGTGAAAGTATCATTAAATTTCATTCAGGGGTAAAAGAGGAGATGCGGATAAGAGATGAGTTCCCCAAAGAGCAACAGACTGAAGGACGGACATCCCGATCACTATATACCCTCCCGCTTTTCAAGCAGGGGTATAATAAATTATATCTATATATATAGTATGAATTTTATCGCATCAGTTCAGGAATGTTTTGATAAGCCCCTCGTATATATTTGCAGTATTGATATTTCTAACAAAGAGGAGCAAATGAGCAACGTTATCATGTATTAATATATCATTTATTAAAATTATCAGTGTTTAAGCATATACATACAGATGAAATAAAGATGAGCATAAATCTCGTAATGTTTGACGACATAACAACGCTAAAATACAAAGTAATAAACAATATTTTTGCATGCAAGCTGAATAGATATCACTTTGTAATTGAAAAAGAGTACATCTCGTAATAAAGTTATCTAAAAATGTATAAATCTTGGTAATGATTGGATAAATATTTCTCAAGTTAAAAATTTTTTGAATATCACAACATTTGGAATGGTTTGAAAACATTTTGCTAAATACTGTGTAAGTGGAAGGAAAATTTTAGCAAGACGCAAATTTAGCGATTTTATTTTTAGCGAGAAGTAATTTTTGCGATTTTAAAATTCTCACCAAAGAAGCTTTTTCAACCAAAATGCAATTAATCTTTTAGCGATAGTTCTTCAGTATTCAATATTAGCGATCTCAGTTTTCTCCCTATTAGTGCCAAAATTAAATCCTCGCTAAAAGTTCTGATTATACGGTACTTAATACTTGACTTTTACATCGGTAAATGTGAATATTTAGTGACAAAGTTCTTTGCAATTACATAATTTACAAATCCTGTTCTCTCTTTGGATGTTTAATCATTACCAGTGTAAACAGACAATTCTATATACATACTTAAAGAGGCAAATTCAATAAACACTCGTCAAAGATAAGAGTTTTAGACTCTGTGATTCAAAACCTTCAATGAAAAGTGACATGTACATTATGTTTAGTATTTCACAACTTCCCATCCAAATAAATGTCATAAAGAAGTACTGTACCACGTATTCACACAAGGACTTGCAACTAAGTTTGAAATTTTCACATCGATACAAAATATCACCAATTCATAATTTTGTAAGATTTTAATACTCAGTATATATAATGATCTTTACCAAAATGAAATTTTATATTTAATATTAAAATTGCTAATATTCAATTCCAAAAATATTCTCCCCTCAGATTTTTTTTCTTCTTTTTTCCAGATACTTCTTGGGTATTTAAAGCAATATGAGCTGGATTTTTGAAAATTTTAATTTGCTGTTAAAATGTGTTAATATGAAAAATTTGTATGTAACTTAAACCTTTTTGATCAATAAGAATAAAATAAAGTTTTAAGCTGTTTCAGAAGTAAGATTTCTCTAAAATCGAATATACAGTATTATATAAGAAATCATTATTGTACAGGATGATGATAATGTAAATTTGATTCAATCGTAGCTTATAAATAGTTCTTTCATCACAAATATGAACAGCAGAAGTTTATAAACATTCTTTTTTTCTGTCATTGAAATAGTTAATCACAATTTTGCAATAAAAAATTCTGACATCAGAGATGCAGCTCATATTGCTTTAAATAAAATTAAATAAATTTTTGTACAAAATTTTACATCTTAAACATCTACAAAAAATACAAGATATCAATCTTTAATTTGGCACTAATTGATACCATTTTTATCAGTCACTGTAAACATCTATCCTAAAAATGCCATTTATAACAAATTTAGTCAGTCACTTCATAAATGTTGATACAAGTTTGCAATAAAAATACCAAATACTACTAGTATTTTCGAGCAATACAGACACGAGAAAAATGAACCCTAAAAAATCTATGAAGCATCGAAATTCACACTGATGTTAATATTACCCGTACAAATGTACTCCAATCTACATGTGAGATCATTATTTAAATCACGTCCATATATAGCTAGAGTTGAAAAATACTCTACGTAAATTCAAGTAGATCAGAAAAAGCGCTAAAATACCTAAAATAAGTAATAACATGAAGAACTGCCTTCTGATGAAAATTGCAAATGGAAAAGAGTTCTCTTGAGATTTTTGGAAATACTTGACCTCTCCACTTCGTCAAGATTTTATTCCTTTTTTTTTAATGAAAACATGCGATACATGAAAATGTAAAGTGATAAAAAATGAATTAGATTTACATACAGTATAAAGAATATACATCGAGAGCTTTTATAGACAGTGTGCCTACTGCCCATCAAAATGTATATACTCCCCCATTATGACAAAGAAAGGCACTGAATATGCGAGAAAAAAAGTTTCGAGGGATAAAATATGAAAAAGTTGGACAATAAAAATATATAACAAAGGCATACATATTAGATACATGATTCATAAAATGTACGATTCATACACAAGAAACAGTTAACAATAAAACACTTCTTAAACAAGATGTGTTTGTGAAACACTATGCGCCCGGCGGCAACAAAGTTCAATAAACTATTTTTAGCAGATAAGTCACAGTCAAGGTCACAAGGTCATTGACCTTGGTGTCATTTAAAAGAACTTAGTGAAGTAAGCATACCAAGTATGAAGTCTCTATCTCTCATCGTTCAAAAGTTATTGCGAAAGATCGAAAAAGCTATTTTTAGCATATAGGTCACAGTCAAGGACACAAGGTCATTGACCTTGATGTCATTTGAAAGAACTTCATTGGTTGAGTATGCATACCAAATATGAAGGGTCTATCTCTCAGGTTCAAGAGTTATGGCGAAGGCTAAAGTTGACAACAGACAGACAGACAAACAGACAAACAGATAAACAGACAAACAGATTAACAGATAAAAAGACGTACAGGATAAAAACAATATACGCCTCGGATCTATCGATTCGGGCGCATAAAAACTAGAGTGTCTCCTGCCATTATAGATACAAAATTCATAAAAGGTATGAATCATATAAATTATGATTTATAACAATAAAATAACAACTAAAATCAAACAAGGATGACCTCTGCCATTATAGTTTTCTGAAATTGCATTGTAATATCTAAATACGACCTTTTTTTCAAAAGGAAATTAAATATTTCAAAATATTCATGAAAAATATTTTTAAAATAGGAACTTCGTAGTCTTTGTAATTCGGGATGGAAACCGTATCACGAGTTACTAAAAATATTATTGCATTTCATTTGTGCATTGTATTATTTGGCACATTTTGTATCCAAGAAGAATTTGTAGTTTAATTTTATTTTCATGATTGCATTATTCTTGAAAGAACTCAATAATACATTTAAACTCTTCAAAAATTTAGATATAAGATTTTGGCTTAATTTAATTCCTAAACTACCGGTAATTTTGGTACAGGTATAAGCAATTTACAGCTAATGCAACACACATTAAAGATTTTTTTTTTAATTTGAGCAAATTTCTTTTCTTCTTAGAATTTGGCACCAACATATTTTTTAAAAAAACAAGCAGTCAGCTAATATAATTTAAAAAAAAAATTAAAGAACAAAAAACTACACTACTTTACAGTAAGATATTATCATAAGAGTCTAAAAGGTGCATGGTTATTTATCACAGAAACCATATAAGTAAATTCTGGATGCTGGTTTAGTACTTTGAAATGTATGAATACATTTCCACAGTTGACCAAGACAAGTTGGACGTGCATAAACACAAAAAGGCTATTAAAATAACCAGAAAAGTAAAATGGACAGAATGTGTAAAAAATGAAATAGATCAAAATGCTGGTCTCCTGTGTTGAACTGGGTCACATTTTTCTTCCTAACAAAATAGTTATGTGCAAGTAAATTACTGTTGTTGTTTGTAAACGTACGTTTTGAACATTTCCTTAGAAATAATAAAGATACAGGTATAATGTCTCTTAAATCCTTCTCGTGATCAAATATAAATTCCCTACATCCCAAAATACCGGTAAAATCACAAGACAGGGATAATAAACTTGACAGACGCACGAGGGACAAATAGCAACCAGAAAAGATTACTAAAATCTCGGAATAATAAAAGATAAATTTTGAGGCATCACACAGGGTTAAAAGATGGTTTCTTATTTTCTAAAAGACACTTATCAACCGATTTCGAACAATGAATAAAACACAAAGTTGTTAGTATCAGTCACTACTTCGCTCTTCTAAATGATATTATGTAATACTCTCCCCCCCCCCCCCCCTCTCTCTCTCTCTCTCTCTCTCTGTTGATATGGTGAATGAATAAAGAAATAAAGTTTTAAAAACGTACATCTTAATTGTCTAAGAATCTTACTGATTGTGCGACATGCGACCAATGTATGATTGAAAAAATCTTGGGATCATTGATTCAGCTGTAAACTCATCAAATTTGCAGCAGGGTGTAAAGGTTAAGTAAAATGATTGAAAGAGAAGACGTCATTGCCCTGACACCTGATATGGCATGCTGATTGGACAGTTTACTCTTGTTATTGATGCCAGCTTTTGGTATTATCACTGTATTCACTACCGAATTCACCTGGGTGGTAGACATTTCCGTTTCTCTACAGAGTGGTAATTCAACTGCAAGAAACAGATCCTAATGTATAATAATTCCCTACAAATTTGCAATGATCTATCATTGCTCTTTATATAATTGACATTTTATTTACTACCTTGTCCTTGTTGGGTTGTCGCAGATGTTTCAGTACACTTGAAAGAATATCGCTTATTTTCACTGTAAGTAATGCAGTCCTTTTTTGTAACATCACAGTTCTTCAGGTTAAGAAATGAAGAATTTTCAATTCTATCACAAATTCTTGTAACCTAAAGATAACATTGCATAATATTTTTAAGTGTGTGTGTGTGTAAAAATTGTTAATTTACTTTGTATTTTATATGATTGAGAAAATACCTTTTCCATTTTATTTTCACAGAACATCCCTTTGAATCCAGGTGGACAGTCACATTTGATATCTGGTGCCAGCACATCAGGACCAGTCTCATCACAAGTAAGATTCCCACCATTGATACACGGACCTTTATTTGGCACGCTATATTTCATACAATCGACACCTATAAATATAATGCCATCAAGGTCATTTAAGCAAGTAAACAATTTCTATGTGGAACTATATAATGAAACATAGGTGGATAACGAACTGTATTCAAGATCAAGAGTCCATAAAACAATACAAAATAGGAGCAGAGCAAACACGGACCTCCAAAACATCAGAGGTTGGATCAGGTGCCATGGAGGAGTGAGCATCCCCTGCTTACCGGTCACACCCGCCGTGTGCTCCTTGTCATGGTTGAGAAATAACGGGAAAAATCCCTCTTTAATTCATTGTATAAATAATGGACTAACAATTAGTATTAAAAAATGACACACAAATAAATCATGGTTAATTAACTTACATCTCAACAATCTTACATCGTCTGACTTAACAATACCAGGACAAGAGGAATGTGTATGATATTTTCCTTCGTAAACATTATAAAAGGAGCACACACACTCTGGTTTAATGGAAACACTTGTGTTGCCACAACGTAAAGCTTTGCTATCTGAAAAAAAGAAATACTAGTATTAATTTTAAGATATAGAATGGTTAAAAAACAACCTTATATACCGAACTTGCGCTTTTTCTTTAGTTTTGTAATATAAGTGTATATATCTGTGTTTAAAATTGAAATATTACTTGAATCCTTTATTTGGCATATTTCCTTGTTTCTATTGTCCAAAAAATCAGGTTTCTCTAAAAAAAAAAAAAAGATATGGCTAGAAGAAAAAGACTGACAAAATTTTTTATTAAATATTTTTTTTTTAAACAGAAATCAAAACATCATATGCTTATCGATAAAACGGTTTTGAATTTACACCAGAAAGAAAATCGAAGCACTCACCGCGGGGCAGTATGAGCGTTTGTTTGTCCTGAATAATCATACATTGACGAGGCTTGTCTGAAAATATTGAATATTAGACCCTTAAGTTTGTTTTCAAATCAATTTAGAGCAGGTTCTTAGTATCAAACGCAATAAAAATGATTCACCCCAAAAAACCAAGCCACAAGGCTGTGGTAATTTTATTTTATTTTTTATCTCGTTATCTTGTATAACAATAACCACATTCTTTGAAAAAGCATGTAAGTGAACCTTTTCAACTTTAAACAGAACGTTATTTATTTAATTATTATTATAATTTTTTTTTAAAGACAAAGAAAAGAGACTGCTGAGCACACGAACTATTCGTGCTTTTGAAGATTTTCTGCGTGTCACATACTGCCTTGGCTTAAATTGCGAAATTGCATTACTTGGAAACATCATAATCATTACAAGGAACAATAACTTATAAAAGATCAGGTAAAAATTCATCAACATGGTGACCAAGGATCTCTGTTGTTTGTTTTTTTTTTAAAAATAATTTTAGTATGATCGTAAAAGGAAAGATGTTAATGATAATAAATAGTTTGGTACACTAACATATAAAGTAAAGAGTAATCATACACACTTACTTGTTTGTTGCATAGAATAAGATGATAATAAACATAAAAAGAGTGAGTAGGATGAGATCTTGTTGAACATGATTTTTAAATGAAGACTCGAAAACTGCAATGAAGAACCTGCAAGAAAATTTGCATGGTTAATTAAAACTTGCAATCTGTGTGGAAAATACAGGTACTATGCAATATTTTCCGTTTAGGGAAACCCCAAAACAAAAAAAAAAAATTCTTGAACCCGCGCCCCAATTTCTGTAAAAGGGCCGTAAATCTTAAATGATTTAAAATTGTTGGTGATAAATGGAGAGTAAATAAAGCTAAAAATAATAATTTACATGTTTACACACTTGCAATCAAATATGAGTGAAGCAAATCAAGTTAATTTATTATTAAGTGCCCTTGAAATTCATATTTCTACAAAGGGAATCCACCTTTTTATCCCGGTTAGTCATAGTTAAAGGGACGAGAATGGTACCAACTAATCCATAAAGCGAAACAAATTTAATAATTCATAATTCAAATACATGTATTTCTGGCCTGGAATCTCCTTACTGGAGATTTTGACTGCATTGAAATTAAAAATAAGTATTCAACAAATAAAAAAAAATGCAGAAAAACAGCATGAAATATACTATAACAATTTAAGTTAGTATTTAAAGGGACGTAAAAAGTCGCTTGTTTTTAAAGTTCTGTTTGTAAACAAAGAACATGGAGCGGAAAGGTAAATAACAGGTTTTCAATATATACTCTGTTATGCTTACTGCACTTCATTTTCCAAATTTTAATCAACTTTGGTTAAAAGTCATGAAAATCAAATGTATATTACGACTTACCGTAAGAAAACGGACTCTCTTAAAGCTGAATTGAATTAAAAACTAAACGTATCAAAAACAAAACGAAAGTATACCTGGAGTTTGGGGGATCCCAAGGTTATAGGTAATCTAGTGTAATATAAAAGGTGAAGCTTACAAACAGTGTTATTATCAGTCTCACAAACCAGTAAGTAATACAAATCATAACAGGGCAAAAACACAGACCCATTTTAAAAATTTGTTGCTGTATCATATACGAGGGTTGATCAAAAGTTATGTCACAGTGTCCATATCTTTTATATTTGGCGTTCATTCAGTAATGTTTAACTGAATTTATTTTATAGATGTTTAAAACATAGAACATAGGGGGTGTCGCCGTGTCACAACCGAACATCACAGATTTAAGTGTACCTTTTTTTTTTTAAGAATTAAATGGACAAACACATTAAAAAACATCTTTTAAAAGACCTAATCAAAAAATATTAGATTGAAGATAAAAATTTACATTATTTTCTAGTTTTAAGTTGAAAATTATGTAGCAAAATTGCTATTTCTAATCAAAAACATCGTTGTTTTACTCCGGTGCATTAAAAAAAATCCAAAACAAACTGTCATGCATTTTGCTTTGTTCTTTTTGGGTCGATTCAGCGAGATGAGCTCAAATCGAAGAAATTGTATCCGTTTACTGTTCATTAAACGCGTGTTCACGACTGACAACCGCGTCAACATTTAGGAAAATCATCACTGTAGGGGACAGAGCCATGATACCGAAATAAATTAATGGTTTAGAGTTCAGAAGTAGGCGCTGAAGTGGGCGGGGGTATTTTTTCCAAGATGGGAGCTTGCGTCATGTATATAGGTGTGGTACGTCTTTTTTAAACGTGGTTTTTCTAGCCTGAAAGTGTCAGGATCTTTATTTTAACAACTTTTAAGTGTATTTAAAGAAGATTCAAGATTTTAAAATTTATTTTACATTTAACAAGCCCCTATGGTTTGACGTTATGAAAAAGACAGAATGCTAGACCGAAATGTGATATTATAAGGATAAATAATACAAACTAACTTTTTTCAGAAATCAGCATTATTTCTCATAGACTTACATTTAAATTGACAACCTGAATAAAGTTTACCAAGTAGAGTTGGAGAATTTTATAAGATTTTGTCATAAATGTAAAAAATTGTGAAAAATATTGTATGGAATTATATAGAAGGCAAAATAAAATCTCAAATCTAAGCACCAAGGAAAACCTACGATTTCTTTATATTTCAGGGATTTATTATTTATGTTAATACAAAACAAAATCAGTCAAAAAATATATATCAACCCGCGCATCCATTTTTATTTTTTGTTTGTGGTAAGTACCCTTAAGTTTGTCTTGTACTACTGTTCAATACGGAAGCCCGCTGGTGTCACGTAGGAAAAATATCTTATCTGGCGGCCGCCACTTATATATCTGGAGGCCGCCACTTAATATCTGGCGTGTGTTTTCGTCTATGAAAGATATGGAGAACAGCACTGAAGCATTAAACAAGGCAAAATTGGAGCAGAAAGAACACAGACCTCCAAAACACCAGACGTGGGATCAGGTGCCATGGAGGAGTGAGCATCTCCTTTCGACCTGTTACAACTGCCGTGTGTTCCTATTTATGATCTGGATATAACAGAAGCATCCATCAACAATTCAGTGTGTACACAATGGCTTAACAATTACTATACTTTGACATAGCATGCATTAAGGCTTTCATATTTCACCGATACATTCCTTGTTACAAGACTTTCCTTTGGATTTCAATATTGACCTTTTGACATTGATCTTGGAGTTTGACTTGCATTTGAGAAACTTCAGTCCTTGCCATAAACTGCCATACACGGGGATACGTGTTTCACAAACACTTAATTTAGATATAGATACATATAACTTTGTATATACATATTCTGGTATATTTATTTTATAATATTGAAAAGGAACTCTACGAGGGCTGTTCAATAAATAATGTCCTCGGTTCTCAGAAAGAAGCAAACGACGCTTTTCAATGATTAAGTCTTCATGATTTTATTTATTGATCTATTTTAATTTAAACTCATGTCCGTAACATTTTTTATCAAATTTCTGATTGTTTTTATAACTCATTTTTGGGTATGACCCTTAGTATACTGGAAAATGGCAGATCCAATGATTTCCTGGACTTGTTTTTCCTTCTGAAAGGTGTTTTTTTCAAGTTTGGAAATAGAAACAAGTCAAAAAGTCAAAGATCTGGCAAATAGTGTTAATGTGAAAAAACATTAACTTTCTGTTTATCTCGAAAACCCCTTTACTCTTCAGGGCATGCAGGTTTGGACGCTGTCATGAAGAAATTCAAAGCAGTGGACTCCTGATTCTGGGTCCTTCCTCTAATAAACCTTTCAATATTTTTTTGAAAAAAAATTGCTTTTTAGACTCCTCCAGATATTAAACTGTCTCACCGAATACGAATTTGAACAACAATACCACTAATATTTAAGAAAATTGCATATATATCTGTCTTTGTGCTCTTGCATAACTTTGCTTTTGTCAGACCTTCGCCGTTTTTATCAAGTACATCTTATGGTAAATTTTGTTTTGATGATTTTACGCAATAGATTCATGTTCCAATATCTGTTTGAATATAAAACAAATGTGGATAACAATTACTGATATTTTAAAATAGTTGTTAAGACTTTTGTACACACTGTCGTTTTCACTCATTTTTCAAAATATAAGGTGACCTTTGAGTACTAAGCTTTTTTTTACTGTCAAACGTTTCTTAAAAACAGTGTAAATTACTCCCGATATGATGTCTATCAAATTTGCTATGTGTCTTAAAGTCAATCATACATCATCAAATATTATTTGTTGAAATTTGGCAAACAGTACATAAATTGTTATAATTTTTGTTGGCAAGGAAGGTACCATTTTTGATGCCCATTATATAATTTTTTATTATTGAAATCCACCTGCTCATTTGTCTATAAAACGGGCATTAGTTGCTGTAAATGTATATAGTTATATACGGGTACTTATTTGATACGGGTACAGTTTTCATATTAGTTGATTTGAGATATACTTCGCTCAACAATTGTTTCAGGATTAGTTATATTATTATTTAGCTAATAAATAGTCTCTAATAAAATACTGCCAAAAATCCAGATAATGTTAGCGTTCAATATCTTGACGTTTTATTGAACGCTAACTTTGTATTACGTATATAAGTATGCCCGAAACATTCCGAAAACGAGCGTTCAATATCGAACGCCCCGTTGTAAACAAAAAAAACGTCGTCTTGTCAAATTGACACATGTGAAGTATGAAAGCCTAAGCACCAAGTTTGCAATAGCTGTGTTCAAGATTAATAAAGTCTGGTAATTTATTGCAAAAGTTGTTCAAAGCCCGAGGTCAAAATTGTGGTTTTCAAAGTAAGGTCTAGTCACAATGACATGAAGTATACTGGTGTCTCATTATATCGCGGTACTTAAAACTTTTGCATAAAAAATGTAATTCCAATTTTTTTACTTTAAATCTCATCAAATGATAATCATATACCAAACCATGGTCTAACTTTTTGATGTCAAATTATTTCCCAAGCCTGCCTCGTTTAATTTGTAGTCTATATTTAAAACAGGAAGTCTTATTTACCTCCTAAATTGGAGTATCTCATAGTATCGCGGTATATGGGAAAACATTGAAACTTGTGGTTGACATGGACTTCAATTCTTATTTTCAATTTTCGATGTAATTCTACATTAAAAAAATAAACAATTATACAAACTAAAGACTTTCAAAACATGAACTTTATTATGGATTTTACTAGATTATAAATTCAATGGTCTAAATACATGTATAATAAAAAACGGAAATGGAAATTTGTAAAATTACGTTTTATTTGAATAAAAATTTTTCCGACCCATGTTCCATCTCTTTAATTATCACAGAAATTTACATTCAGACGACAAGCAGATAGTTTTCTCCACAAAATTGATATGAGCTATGTAACTGATTTTTTGGAATATACCGCGATACAATGGAACCCGCGATATAATGAGAATCGAGTATACATAATTGAAATATGAAAGGCAAATCATGATGAGGTTTGACTTGTAAAATATTTTCCATTTTCTTTTTCTTTTAGAAAATATTTGTTAAGTTAGAGATAAAAAATAAAACAAAACAAGGATAACAATTGGTTTTATAATTATGAATGATTGCATATTTCTTTTATTTTGAACTATACTGAATGGTAGAAACGCAGGGTAACATAATAATATGCAATAATTTTTTTTTTTTGAAACACATAAGCAAAAATTACGAAAACTGACCGAATGAGAATCTTGGTTTAAAACTGACAGAAATCGATTGTGCGAGTTTGATTTTTGAGCTGGTCAACTTTACGTTTTCTTCTCACTGTCGCTTGCATGTGCGCACGTCGTTTGCCTATCTTTAGGCGTGTTTACCCACATCCCATTGTTGACAAGTTTAGTCAAGACTTCCTCGCACACAATCACATTTACCCACTCACCTAGTCTTCATAAACTCATATTTTTTCCTATTGAGCGTCTGTGGAATTATGTGGATGTTAGGGTTCGAAATACCCAAGCTGGTCTCATTCAATTTAGGACTGTCTAGTTGAAAGGGCTGAATAAAATTCGTATTTGAAGGATAAACATTCTGATGAACTTCATGCAAAGAAGAATCAAGGCTATGACAATTATACGCGAGGGAGAATTTGTGAGAATTTTCAATTTTCACTTTTTTGGGGGTATCGTCATATGAGTTTCAATAACTTATGAATTATAAGCAGGATCAAATGAAAGATCATTCTACATGCAATAAGATGGATTCTGACTAGGGAACTGTTAAGATCCTTTCGACCCTTCAACCAAAGGAATCTCATTGTAAATATCGCTGGTAACAGCAAATTCTGCTATAAAGGAATCTCATTGTAAATATCGCTGGTAACAGCAAATTCTGCTATCGATAGCAGAATTTGCTGTTACCAGCGATATTTACAATGAGATTCCTTTGGTTGAAGGGTCGAAAGGATCTCAACAGTTCCCTAGTGCTTTACCGT